TTACAGCTTTGTAGTTCTAACATTTCCAGCTTTATTAGTAAATAATGAATTTCATTCAGTTCTTCATCTATATTTCTTTCACATTCTCATCAAACTTATATAAACTTTGAATTTAAAGAATTTCATTTAACTGGTTTAGAGCATGAGAAGAATTGATTATTTAAGCCATGTCTTTTGCCAAAAGCGTTTTCAAGGTAGTTCAATGTATTTAAGTACGCGGGAGCCTTGTCGACCTGTTTAACTACTGTTTTGAATTCAATTTTGATTAAAAAGAGGTAACAAAAGGGTAAAGCTACTAATGAGGTAGAAGTTGAGATAATTTACGGGGCATAGACGGTGGTCTATTAGGTCACAAAAACTCCTAGTGACAGTAGGGTTTATTTCTTATAATATTTCAAGTTTGGGTGTCATTGAAGTCTTGTTGTAAATCCCTTAAGGTCAAATTCCAGTGTTAAGAATTCTTTATAATTCATTTTATATATTTACATTATCTTCTTCCACCACTTCCGTATTATATATATACCTCCGTTAACACACTTACACCGCTCGCTCATTACATTCAGGAAAATCTAGCCATTAAGTAACACACAAGCCAGACACAACACCTCTCCCTCATTCTCCACCGCTCACACATATATATATATATACATATTGTGTCATCCGCTCACGTCCTGTTCACTCGGTTATCGCCATCCGCTCATGTCCCGTTCACTCGGTTACCGCTGGCACTTTACCGCTTTCGTTTACCGCTTTCTATAGAGTAGAAATCTGGATCCATTGTAGAGCGGGTCCTTTGTTGCATTTTGCGCCGCTTTCTCAAGATCTACACGTGATTCAAAATTCATGAGTTAAAATCTCTGTGTTCGACCTGGAAACTCACCAGTTAAAATAGTATAAATAATTGTGATAACTACTCAGGGTCTACAACCACAATCTTTTACTATACCGCTTTCTATAACTCTTTATTCATTGATTTCCGAATATAAATTCCCTATAAAAATGTACAAATTTCAACAAAATTTTAGTTATCACCTATTCACTTAAATGGTGATATAAATCTGACATATTTTTTTTTTTAGTAATCATTGTTTTAAACATGGAAGTAAAAGACGAAAACTGAAATAGGTAAAATGTCTGATGTAGTGTCACCCAATGAGTAACATGGAACTGTGTCTAGCCAAAGATGTTTTTTGAGAGAAAGTTTTTTTAACTTTATTTCTTTTATTTTGTTTAATTTTTAACCATCACCTATATTTATTTTGGATTATTTTTGTTTTTGTAGGAAACTATTTGGAGAATTTTGTCAAAAATAAATAAATGAATAAATAAAATTCCATATTAAGAAGTATTCCCTTAATTCCAAACACCTTGCAATATTTCTTTTTTTGTTTGTCTCAAACTCATTGCAATATTTTCAAATTTAAAAATAATTAAATAATATTTATATACATATATTAATATACACTTCACTTTTATCTCATCACATCACTCAAATAAAAAAATAAATAATAATTTCTCTCTCAAATCACATAACTTAATATCCAAATTATCTCAAATTACCATACTTAATACTTCCTACCTAAATTCTTGTGTCAAACATAAATGTTGCACGATATTTGAGACGGAGGGAATATCATTTAGACATTGCCAAGACTTATTGACACTTCTCAAACTGCATTCCAATCCCTAATTTCCCTTAACCCATCAAATTTCCCAAAATGAAAGGTAGTCTTTACTCATGGTTATGACTAAACACCTACTATCACATTGTCTCATTCCTTCGTTAAACCAAATTTTAATTTTAAACCCTAAATTAAATTGAATTTCCAAAATCCAAAACCCGTCTCTCTCCCTTGTCTTTCTCTTCTTTCCTTATCTCTTTCCGACCGAACCGGACCGCCTCCAACCTCACCTACAAAGCCCAGCCGACGACAGCTTCCGACCACCCGTGTCAACTGTCCGCACCTGAGCCCGGAACCGGATCAACATTTTCCTTTCTTCTTCTTCCTTCACCCAGCGTTCGACCGCCGCGCCTCAACTCACCGATTCGACGCCGCGACAACAGCCGCCGCCGTGCCACCTCCACCCATTGCTCCAGTCCGTGTGCTTCCACCGTCGACAACGAGCGCCACTGCGCCGGCGTCACCCACCTTCTTCCTCCTCCGTGCAGCCACCACTCTTCCGCCTCCCCTGCGACTCTAGCTACCGCGCCACCGGCCGCTGCCCAGATATCGGGTTTTTTAAATAAATGTCCTAAGTCAAAAACTTTTTTAAAAAAGTAAAATTTAAAGTAATTCCGAAAACTAATTAATTTTGACAAATTGAAGAGTTCTCAAAACTCTTTGATTATAAATTTAAGGAGATTTCACAATATTTTTTTTGTAATAAATTATTTAATAATATTTAAAAATATTCTAAGGAGTTCTCAAAATTCTTTGAATTTGAGTTTTTAGAACTTTTTTTTAATTATATATATTAATTAATTTTTTTATTATTTTTTAATACAATTTTTATTGTGTTCCTTATCTTCTATCTAGTGTATTTTAAGATTTACTTTCTTTTCTTTTTTTTTTCTCTTTATTTTATTTTATTTTTAATTTAAAATATAATTTTATATTTATTGGATATTTTATTACTAGTTTTATAAAATATTAAAAAATTGTTATAACAATTTTGATTTTGTTTTTTTAGTGATTTTAATTTTTTTTTGAGATAAAAAATCTGGTCGTAATATAAAAAATAATATTTTATATTGAATTTGATAAAACGATAAAATATATGTTGAGAATTGTATTGAAAAGAAATTTATGGGTTAACAAACCCTTTATATGTACGACACATTTTTTTATTTTATTTTATTATTTTTATTTATCTATTGTGTTCATTTGGATGATATTCATAATTTTAATGTAGATTTTATAATTTTTTTGATTTTCAAAAAATTGTGTGTTTTTTAATGAATGTAATATTAATAATTATTTGGTTTTTATTTTTCTTTTTTTAATAATTTTTATAAATGTATAATAAAAAAATAGACAAAAATTATCCATAACTCCTTTGTGATTTCGAAATTCTGCGTAAATTTTCATCTACTTTAAAAATTGCATGGACTTTCTTATACTTTATAAAATATTGCATGAAATCCCTTTGTGGTATCGAAACTCAGCGCAAATCTTCATTTTACTTTAAAAAATTGTATGACGCCCACTTATACTTTCAAAAATATCGCATGAAACCTCATTGCCATGCAAAACATATATATAGAAAATCATCTTCTCATCACATAAGGAAAGCTTCATGGTGGTGGAGTTTCATGCAATAATTTCTAAAGTATAAGGGCGTGTTATGCAATTTTTCAAATATAAGGAGATTTTATGTTGAATTTCAAAATCACAAGGGAGTTATGAACAATTTTTAACTAAAAATTATTTACAAAATTATATTTTATCTCATATTATTTTTAAAAATATAAATACAAATATAAATATATCGTACATATAAAGAATTATAAACTAATCGGAAAAAATTCATTTTTTTTTTAAAAAAATAATAATAATGGTCATATATCCTTTACATATATATTAATACTAGCGTGTAACCCGTGCTATACACGAGTTATTTTATATTAAATTATATACTAATTTAATATTTTTTATAAATAATATTTATAATTTTTTATATATATATAATTTATTGTTCCAATCAAATCAATTTGAAAAATAACTTATACAATAAAATCAAAAAATATATAATTTATAGAAAATAAAAATAACAAAATAAATAATTAAAAAATACATACACAATAAGAATGCAATAAAAATAAATTTTTTATATGTTAAAATTTATCGTAATTTTTGGTACGAATTTTTCCAAATATTCTTTCAAATAAAAAAAAGCTCAAAAATTTGAACATGGTTTCCAAAATTAAAAAATAAAATAAAACTTCAAATAAATTTATATTTATTTTTTATGTTATTGTATTTAATATTAAAAATATTTTTATATTTGTATAATTTATTATGCAAACGTCATTATATTTGTATTACAATATACAATATATATATTTTTTCTCTTGATTTGTACTACTTTTTTATATAATAATTAATATATAAATATTAACATACAAAAAATAAATGTCAACTTATTAGGTGGATGAAAATAGTTTTTAAAATAGAAAAAAATATACTACCTCCATCCCGGAAAAGAGTAACGTTTACGTTTTGCATGTAAATTTTTAAATATTAGTATTATATTGGTTTATAGTGAAAAAGACAAAAATATCCTTATTAGACTGTGTGATATAAAAGTAATGATATTTGTGTACTATATTGAAAATTGTAAAGGTATTAATTATGTTAAGTAGATAGTACAATTACTAAATTAGTAAATGATATCTTTGTTTTGGAAAATTGTATCCTTCTTATACGGAGAGAGTATAAAAATCAAATAATTATTAATATTATATTCATGAAAAAAATAAATATATCGTACATATAAATTCTTATAAATATATATGGAATATTTTTTTAATATTTTATAAAACTAAGCATATAAAATTATATTTTAGATTAAGAAAAAAAAAAGAAAATTATTTTAAATTACACAAGTAAGAAGATGAAGAAGAAAAAAAAAGTATTGAAAATAAGAAAAAAAAAATTTATATATATATATATATATATATGGTGTGTTGGGTTATGAGATTAAACTTAAATTATTATTCATCCAAATTTTTTTTCTCTAATATCAAATCAAATACGTATTTTTTTATTTTTATATTATATTAAAAATTAATTTTACATTCAAAATATATATCAATACCTCTTTATATCACATTATTCAACTATTCAAAAACTGCTCGATTTGTATAATATCATGCAACTATTTGACAGAGATTTTGAAAGTCCTCGATTTGTCAAAATTAAGTAATTTTCAGAACTACTTTCTCTTATTTTTTAAAAGCAATTTTGACTTGGGACATTTATTTAAAAAAAAAACCCAGACCTCCACTTCCCGAACAGCCGCTGTGCGCCTCCTCCGACGAGCTCCAGCCGCCGTGAACAGCCCTGTTCCAAGTGCCTATCCTTAATCCTCCAATTGGGTATATTTCTCCATCTCTTTTGTTTTTCTTCTTTCAATTTTTGGAGATGAAATTGTTGAGGCTGTGCGATTGGAAATTTAAAATTGAGTTTGAATCCGAGTGCCTGCATTTAGGTGTTTTGTGATGTTTTAGTGCAGAAATCTTGGATTATTTCCTGATCCTTGTTAGCCCATGATCCTAGTTTTATTCTTTGGATGTTCTATTTTTAATTGAAAATTGATGTCAGGCCTATATATGTTTTCTATGATGGTTTCTTTGCAGATTGTTTCACTAATTTTGTGCACGACTCTTAGCTTATTAAGTGATTTTGGATTGCTTAGTGCTTGCTTGATTTGATCATCATTTCTTCGCACAGATATCTTGTTTTGATTTAGCAATTTTTGTCATGGTTGAATTAAAATTGAATTATCTTGGCCGAATTTTGATTATTAGTGTTATGATTACTGCAATTGCTCATTTTCTGTTTTAAATTGTTGTCTACTTTAATGCGTTGAAAGTTTTAGGTGAATTTTGTGCGCATGATACTTGGACTTCTTGATTGTATATTGAAAGGTTTTGGACATTATTGTTCTACTTTCACCCACATTACTGTTTTCCTAGGATAGTTGTTGCGCTTGGCTAGTTTGTTTTTGCAGCATTCATAGGAAATTTTCAAAGCTTGTCTTAATATGATGCACGTCTAAATCCAAAGGTGCAAGGAAGCAACACAACATATTGGTCTCATTGCACACCCTTTATGGATTTAGGAAAGTTTCTCTCTTATTTTACTTCTTTTTACATTGACGACAATGTATACTTTAGGTGTGGGGAGAGAGTTATGCAACATATTGGGGCAGTTTTTTTTTCCTGTGCTACTTTTTTATGTCTGATTTGCTATCTTTTTGCATGTATTTTAGATTTGTCTGAAGTGAGTCAGGTTTTATATGATTGGTTAGTTTGGCATGATTGATGATATTGGATTTGAAATATGTTGAGCCAGGTTGACATTTGAACCATGTGAGAATTTGAGTCTATACTCGAAAAATTTACATTAAAAAAACAAATTATACAGTACTCAAGCTTTTGGAATCTTGAATGATTTGTAGTACTCAATTATATGACCTAGAACTTGAGTAATTATGCATGTTGAACTTGCAACTATCGAGTCTTACGTTTAGAAAATAATAGGGGCATTAAGCCTTTTTTTATCATCCAACATAATATATTTCACCCCGCCTTTTTAGTCTTAGACCCTTCTTTTGAAATTTAGCCTTCTCTTATTTTAATCATATGTTAAAAATAATTACTTTAAATTCATATTGTAATACACTTTATTTATTATTAGGCACTAGTTAAAAACAAAAATTGGGTATGAATATGTCATAATATGGAGAAAATGGAAATGAATAGTGAAAGTATATATATAGATATATATATATATAAAGGCAAAAGAAAAAAAAAAGAAAAATGGCCAAAAAAAAAAAGAAAAAAAAAGCCAAAAGAAAGGCCAAAAAAAGTTTAAAAAAAGAAAAAAAAATCTTGATGAAGTATTATTGATATAATTATTTTATTGAAGTTTTGGTAGTGAATAAAGGAAGAGTTTTATTGTTTATGTCGAGCTGCTTTTCATATGCTAGCATCGTGTACTTATCGTGTTATTTTCTGACATATTTTAGCCTTTGTATATCATTTTTCCTACCCCTAACCATCAACCCCGTTACAACCCATATTAAAAGTCCGTATGATTCTTTATGTTAGATTCGAATATCTTAAGCAAGTGAGATTTGATTTTCGTTCAAGCCTATGTGATAATCTTTTGTTGCATTACTTGAGTATCGAGCCATTTACACAGTTATTTCTTTAAGAAAGTACGTGCACATATGTTTTATCCTGTGAGGTTGACTTGGCTTGATACATTGAATTTTCGATTGATTTAGTTGTATTAGATTCTCATGTCATGTTGAGTCACCTGTGATTTCTTTTGGCTTGTTTCGAATCTATGCTTAAAGGCAAGCATAATTAGGTGCTAAGAGATTTGATAGTTATAAATCACATGCATTAAATATTTATATTATATGCGATATTTGGTTAATTTTGATTGGATTCTACCTAATTTCTGCGCATATTATTTATTTGTTGTATGTAGAGGACAAATATCAAATTTGCGGTAATTAGAAGAAAAAGTGAAAGAAAAATCAAATTTACACCACCTAGTTAGGGAAGTAATTAACGGGCGTACCTTGACTGTCGATTAAGTAAGGAATAGTTGGTTATTAGGCGTGTGTTGGTAACTATAACTAATTTATTTAGAAACCAACGAAATTAAATATCATTGATGATCAAATCCACTATCCAAGTTGTCAATTTCATTCTTAAACTGGAAGCTTATATTTATTGAATTTATCTTTTAGTCATAGATTTTTAGTTTGTTATTTTTATTTTTTAACTTTCAACTTCCAAAAATCTCATTTTTTATTATATATATATATTAAACAACAAAAAATAAAACCTTTTTGCTTCCCTAAGGAGACGACTCTACTTCATCTATATCACATTATTTTTATTACAGAAGTAGGTTTATTTTACTTAATTTTATAACGTGTGATGAATGTCTGTCACTATTTAAATACTTATCGGACATAATCAGCCGACCATCCAGAATAAAATGGCCTAGCTGGGAGATGAGAAAGCTAAGAAAGGAAAAATGCCACTGAATGAAACCACCGATGCAACCTCATCTTGTCAGCCGCACCAAGTAGCAAATTCAACTTCTTTTCAACTTCAATATGGATATGTTTCCATTCTCCAGCATGACGGATATGCAGTGGGCATATCGGCAAGTGTGCTGCCTCTAGGAGGAGCGGGGTTTTCTCGCTTGCTACACCGATCAGCTCAACGAACTCGCTTGAGGCGTAGGATGGCATGTTGAGCCAACAAAAGAGTACTACGGCCCAAGTGGGAATGTTTCACCGCTGTTTCCATCCGGGCCATGGGGAAACTGTAGTCAATAGAGTCAATCACCCTATGGTCCCCCGTCATACTACAAAATACCTTGAGGTTTGTATGCCCAGAACCCGTCAGTATATTAAGAGGCTGGGGGGTAAGCAACTACGTAGAGCGTGACGACCACGGTAGTCCCGTATGCATCACCACTTCACGTCTCTGGGAGCGTTAGTCCAAGTGCACCCCAACAAATTCCCATGAAAAAGCCAATCCATGCCAATTGGCCCATCGGAGCACCGCCAACGGTTGCCCAGAAAGCACCATGACCCAGTCTGCCCGCCAGATGACTGGGTTAGTAGAATTTTCCACCTCTAGTGGCAAATCCGCTACACCCGATAAGTGAAGGATATGCATTCCAGGGTTTTCCACTTGTACAGGAGGATCACCCAGCTGCGGATCACCCTTAGCGGATTCCACCAAATCCCGCACAACAAAAAGGAGCTCAGAAGAATCTACCAGTGTATCTAGAGGCCTTAGAAGAGGCAGTACGCAGAGTCTACGGAGATCCTTTGTGGATGCTTGCCAGGCAACAATATCAGTGGATATTTCCAAATTGAGTTGTGAAGAAACATCAGCTGCCAAGATATGCCTGGATTCCGGAGTTTACACTATTCTCAGGGGAGGATTCTAGGTCCATCATTGAGCATGTGAGCCGTTTTATGGCCTAATGCGGGACGAATACGGCAACAATAATTGGTACAAATTGCAGCTTTTTTCTTTGTGATTAATAGGGTCAATGATAACTCTTGATTTTGACATATTTTATAACTTATACTTGTTTAATTAATTAAGTATTTATGTCGAGGTTTGGTATTATTTATATTAATTTATTTTAATAATTATATTTATTGCAATTATTTGTGAAATATTAATGTCTTAATTTTTAAGTATATTTTATAATTATTTTAATGTATAAATTAAATTAATTGATGTGTTTCTTGAATTATATTTTTGACATTATTTATGTTCTATTTAAGTATTTAATTTTGGCTAAATTAATATTATTTAGTAAGTATTATTTATTTAAATAAATATATAAAGTGTTTATTATTAATGCATGTGAAATAATGCTTGAAAATTAGTGTGAGAGCCCAAACCTAAAAAGCGAAAAATAGTTTCAGGAGTGAAAAAATGTTGTTGGCGTGAAAGTCAACAAAAGTCAACGGTCAATGCAAAAAAATCAACATGTTGAAGTCAAAGTCAACGACAGTGACGACTGCGCGGAAAGCAGTGAGCGGCTGCACAGAACCTGTGAGCGGAGCGGAAATCCTTGTATGAAGGTGAGCGAAGCGGCAACCTAGCGGAGTGGAAATCCTTGCATGGAGGTGAGCAAAGCGGCGGCTGCACAGACATCAATGAGCGCAAAAAACAAGCGGTGGCTGTGCGAAAATTTGTGCGAACGCAAAAAATATGCGTCGGCTGTACGGAATCCGTGAGCAGCAGCTGCATTTATAAGCACAGAAAGGAGTGAACATGGAATTCCAGCGGCGGCTACACAGACACCAATGGAGCGGAAAGCCAAGCATGAAATTGAACGAAGCGACGGATGTGTGGAAATGGAGTGGCAGCTGTGCGGAAAAGGAGCGGCAGCTGCATTTATTGCCGCTAGGTCAGCGGTGCATTTACTCAGCGAACCTGCATTAAATCTGCCTAGCTTTACTCTCAGCTGCACCATTTATTGCCCAGACTCTCTCCGCCCTAGGATTTACTGCACTCTCCCAGTTGCCTAATTAAATTCTTGCATCATTATTTAGTTAATTTTTTACTATTTTACGTATTTTTATTGCAGAATCTTTTAGAAGATAGGTACTTATTAGGCCACCCGCAACGAGGGTGCTTCCCCGTAAGCGTCCCCCACGTCAGCATTTTTTGAAAAAAAAAAATTGAAAAATGCTCCTGACAAACAGTCACCTGTGTTTCTTCCTTTTTTATTAGGGTCATAGCCTTTTTTTATCATTTAATAAATAATAAAAATAATATTTATAGAAAATTTGTTTTATTTAAAATATTTACATTTT